CTATATATGGAGTTGAACTGTAAGCGACTCAGCCAGTGCCTCCTCTTCGTTTCTGCCTCTTCTTTACTCTGCTACTGCATAAAGAATAAAATAAAAAAATAATAAAAAAATAAAAAAATAAAAAAAATAAAAAAAGAATAATAAAATAATAAAATAATAACTAAAATTTTAATAATAAATAATATTAGTAAAACCGAAAGTACAATAAGTCGATCGACAAGCAAAAAGAAATGCATTAAAGCTTCCCCCTTCTATCACCCCAAGGGGTTTGTTGCTGCTGTTGCTGCTGTTGCTGCTGCTGCTGTTGCTGCTGCTGCTGCTGCTGTTGCTGCTGCTGGGGTTAGAGCGGACTGCCGTCTCTTGACGCGTTTGTTTGCTGCATCTGCTGCAGCAGCAGCTGGCGGCTCCTGCAGCAGAGCACTTCTCCGCATGCGTTTGCCTGCAGCAACCTTATCGAGGTCTTCATCTGCTGCAGCAGCTGCAGCAGCTGCAGCAGCTGCAGCAGCTGCCTGTACACCCGAGGGGGCCCCCCCGCCGCCTGCTCTCTCACAAAGAACCCCTGCATCTGCACTGCGGCGGGGGCCCCCTCCCCCCCTTGAACTGAGGGGGGCCCCCTGGCTGCTTGCAGGGTACCCAGCAGCAGCAGGAGCAGCAGCAGCAGCAGCAGCAGCAGGAGCAGAGAGTCGTCCGCCTCTCGGCAACCCGAGGTGTACAGACACCCCATCAGCAGCAACTCTGCTGCTGCTGACATTTGCTGCTTCAGTACCTTCACCGAGTTCTGCTGCTCCTCTCGCCAGTTTTGCTGCAAGCAGTGCTGCAGCAGCAACATGAGCAGCAAGTGCAGCACCCTGAGAGTCTGTCTTTCCTGCAGCAGCAGCAGCAGCTGCTGCTGCTGCTGCTGCTGACTTTGCTGCGATGCCAGCAGCTGCTGCTGCTGCTGCTGCCTCTTCGTCTGTTGCCCAACCAACAGAATCCGCACAGGGGGAGGGGGGTTTCTTTTGCTGCTGCTGCTGCTGCTGCTGCGTGCTGGATCTTGGTTTCAGTTCCGCAGCAGCAGCAGCTGCCGCTGCTGCAGCTGCTGCTGCGGCTGCAGCTACTGCATTCGTTCCCCGGACGTCTTGTCCTGCTGCTGCTGCTGCTGCTGCTGCTGCTGCCTGCTGCTGCTCCTCTGGTGCCTCAACGCGCTTCATAAAGAACGAATCTATCTTGCTGCACCTCGGACCCGCAGCAGCTGCTGCAGCTGTTGCTGCTGTTGCAGTTGCTGCTGCTGTTGCTGGCGGTGGTGTTGCTGCTGCTGCTGTATTTGCTGGTGTTCCTGTTGCTGTTGCTGCAGCAGCTGGCGTTGCTGCTGGTGTCCCTGCTGCTGCTGCTGCTGCTGCTGCTGCTGCATGCGGCGTAGCCGTCGGTGTAGTGTGTGTGTGTTGTTGCTGCTGCTGCTGCGTATCTATTAAAATATTATTTGCTGCTAGCTGCGCCCGCAGCTGCTCCTCCAGCTCTCTCTCTCTCAGCTCAATCGTTTTCTCTTCTTTTTTTATTTTTTTTAATATTTCGTCAAAAGCAACAGAAGCAGAAAATGCACGCACTGCTTCTTCTGTTGCATACCATCGCTGCAGAAAAAAAAATAAAATAAAATAAAATAAAATAAAATAAAATAAAATAAAATAAAATAAAATAAAATAAAAT